CCCCCCCCCCCGCCACCGCACCCCCTCTCCTGCCTTCTGCTCGGTGCGGGCAAAGCCCCCCTGGCCTGGACCCCCGGCCCGTGCCCTGACCCCTCTGCCTGGGGCTAATGTGAAGCTTCTCCCCTCCCCGAGCCCCCTCCTCTCCTTTGCACACGAGGCCCCAGGGTGGCCGCCAGCAGCGACCATCCCCGGCCTCGCAGCCACTGTGCCTTAGCCTGAGCTGGCCGCTCCTGCCCAGGTGCCCCCTTGCCCCCCTGGGCTGCCCGGGTCCCCCCGGGGCCGGCAGCGTCCCTCCGGAGCTGCCGTGGGGCGAGCGGCAGCAGCACCCAAAGCACAGCTGGCAGCGCCCAGCGGGGCCGCCGGCCCCCTCTGTATCACGTCCGATTTGTACACGGGCTCCTTGCCCTTTTTTTTTTTCTATAGTCGAAACTGAACGAGCAATAAAGTGACATTAACATGCGTGGCCTCGCGTCCTTCTCTGGGGACGGGCCCGGCCGGTGCGGGGTTGGTGCTGCGTGGGGCTGGGAGGTGACCCCGGGTGTGCAGGCTGCGCTGGGGGGACGGCGGGTGCGGAGCTGCGGGGAGGGGAGGCGAGGGGCTTTGCCGTGTGTCTGGTTTGCCCGGAGCCCCCTCGGCTGGGGGGCAGCGGCGGTTGCAGGTGGGACAGAGCTGCCGCCGTCTTTGCGAGCACAAACGCCTCCCGCTGCCGTCCCTCCCACCTCGCTGCCCCCCACGCCCACCCCTGCCCCGAGCTCGACAGCAACTCGCCCGCCGATGGCATATGAAACAACGTGCTGCACAGACAAGTGTTTAATGCTAAAAAATTATTAAAACCATCTTAACAAAATAGCCCGAACGTGGCCGCCTCCCCGAGACGCGGGCTCCTTACAGGGGCTCGGGGCAGCAGCCTGGCACAGATGGCCCCAGGCACGGGGCGCTCAAGCCAGCGAGCCCCTGCTCCGCTCGCCGTTGTGCCAGCTGGTCTGGTGGCGGCAAGACCCCTGTCCCACGGCCAAGCCCGTGGCACGGCGCGAGGGGTCGGCATCGGGCAGAGCTGCAGGTCCCTCTGAGCTGGTGGTACCCCGGGAAGGGCCCTGCAAAGCAGCCCTAGGGCAGCTCTGTTAGAAAACAAACATTTAAACACCCGGTGTGGAGGAGAAGGCAAAGTCTACGTGGTGCTTACAGCCAGCGCGGCGCTGCACATGGCCGTGGGCGCCGATCCGGGGCGTGGGTGCTGTGTGTGCCGCGGCCCTGGGTGGGCTCAGCCATGGTGATGGCACCCTGCAGCAGGCACAGACACCCCAAAGTCTGTGTCGAACAGGCTCTGGTGCTGCAGCGCAGACCCTCCTTCGCTGGCAGCCGCCCTGCTCGGCGCCCCAAGGCTGGGACATTCGTATGGCACAGGTTAGCAAGCACAACCCCGCTCGTCTCTGTCGCTGCGCTGCGCAGCCCCACTGCGGCCGGGTGCTGCCGAGGCTCCGACCCCGGAGCTGGCCCTCGCCGTGATGCCGGGTGGCCAGCGCAGGGGTAACGCCGGGCTTCCTGATGCAGGCACTGGGTCCGAGCCACCCACACAGGAAAGGAAAACGCTGGGCGCCGTCCTACTGCTTCCTCCGCCACCTTTGACGCTTCCCTCCCACGGCCGCGGTGCCCCCGCAGGGACCGGGGACAGCCTCGGGGTCACTCCCACCCTCTGCTCGTGGGACTGGGACTTGACAGAGCTCCAGTTCACGGGTTAATGCTCCCTCTTAGCTTCTGTATATCTGGCGTGTAACTGGGCTGGGGCTGGGACACAGCGGTGGGACAATGTGGGGTGGGGGGCACTCAGGAACCCCCCAGCCCTGCACCGGCTCCCGGTGGGTATGACCCAGGGATGAGGCAGGGGGGTCCCTTCACGGCTTCCTCCACGGTGAAGGGGCAACTCAAGAGGGGGCCCTCCCAGCTGGGCAAGTGGTGGGGGGCCGGGCGCTGCCCCGGCTCTCTCCAGCCCTGCAGCCACGGGCAGAAGCTGAATCCCACAGGCAAGAGGAGCCCGTGGTGATGTGGGGACTTGTGGGACAGCCAGTCCTGGGGTCCTTGGGGACCTGGAGGATTTTGTTAGCCTCACGCTGAGTCTTGGGTCAAAAATGTGTCTAAAGGTAGTGGGGTGGGACTGAGGGGTTTGGGGGAGGAGGGAAGGGGCAGGTAATGGCTGGGGTGGGCAGGGGAGCAGAACCGAAAGCAGCTGTGGTGGGACTGGGGGTGTTCAAAGCCTCCCCCAGCAAAGCAGGCAGGGACACACCTGAAAACTAACCTATACTGACATCTGAAATGAAACCCAACAAGCAAACCCTGCACCAGGGAGAGGACAAGCACCTCCGCAAGCGGCCCCCCTGCATGGGTGGGCGTGGGGTGGGGAAGGGGCTGGCAGTCTGGGGCTGCCTGGACCATGCAGGACCAACAGGCTGGGCAGGGGGGAACCTGCCCTTGAAGTCCATGGCCTCTCTGAGGGGCACGAGCTAGACTAAGCAATCCCAAAGTCTGCGCTGGCACGTCCCCAGTTGCTGCCCTACGCAGCCTACAAACCCGAAGAGCCACCAACTCGTGACTCGAGCTCTCTGCAACCAAGCAAACCAAGCAAAAGGCTGGCAATCTGGCACGGGCTCACCCAAAGCTTCCCTGGCCAGCGGGGCTCGCCAGCTCCGCGCTGGCACTACCCAAAGGCTGGCAGGACCCTCAACGGCCCAGCCTCCACGTGAACCATCCACAGCAATGACCTTCCCAGCTGGTCTGCCCGTGGGGAGGGGGCCCTTCGCAGCATGGCCATTCTGGGGTGGGTTGAAGACGTGGCGTTTATTGTTCGTGGTGGGCTGGAAGGCGGTGGCGGCATGTGGTGAGGGCTGCCGCTGAGGCCGGTCTCCCACCGTAACAGGCTGCATGACTCGCTCAGGGGCTGTCGGCCCCGCTCGGCCCCCTCAGCCCTCCTGGGCCCACTTGAGGAAGGTGGGGATGTCCCGCACTGGCACGTTGCGGGTCAGTGCTTTAACTCGCAGGTTCCGGTCGTCCGTCAGCAAAACCACTTCCCTGAGCAAACGGATGGGATCGTCTGCAACGAGAGAAAGCGTGGTGTGAAGCTCAGCCCTCCCCAGCCCTTGCACCCATCCCACACCATGCTCTCCCCACGCTGTGCCCCCCACCCCACCCCGGGGTGCCCAGCACCCGGCGGCACTCCCAGCTGCCCGCTCCCTGCTAAGGCTGCCCAGCGCACAGACAACACTCATCGCGAAGGCCGCCTTCTCGCCTCCCCGCGTCGGCTGGGGGATGATTTGTGATCTCTGATGCCCGCAGCCCCAGGGCCAGGAAGGCCAGCGAGCGGCACCAGGGTCCCATGCTGCCCGCTGCCCGCATGGGGTGGTGCGCCGTGCCGTGTTGTGCCGCAGGCAGGGAAGAGGAGGTCCCTCTGCCTGACCCAGGCCAGGAAGATGGCCTGCGACCCTGGCTCCAGCAGGAAGCTGGTGCTATTATTCTGGTGATCTCATTATAAGATCTAAAACCACCCCTTATTTTTTGCAAAGCTTTTTGGAGTTGCCACTGACACTGAGGCGTTTCTGGCTGGGGCTCAGACAGCCAGAGAGAGTTGAAGCCTGAGAAATAACCGAAGGGATCTTGCCCCCAGATGGATGAGCTGCCCCGCACGCAACATGCCGGGCTGGGATGTGGGAGCCACGCTTACGTGTGTGCGAAGCAGGGGAAGCATATGGGGTATGTGTAAGCAGCTGGGTCCTGTGACCAGAGTACTGTTCCTATGAGCACAGGAAACACAGTGCCTCTGAGCCAGGACGGGAATGGAAAAAACAGAGTTTATGGGAGCCCA